TACAAATATGAAAAATAATTTAATGATGTTAAATTTTATTTCTGTGCCCATTTCGTTATAGCTCGTTATTTTTTAAGCGAGTTAAGGTATTTAGGCCATTTAAAACTATGAAATTATAAAATCTCGTCTGCGCGCTAGGCATACGAAAGATATCAATCCCTCTAAGTTTACCTTGAAATGGTTTCAGGTATACGACGCGTAAACATGTAACCTTCTTGGAGGTGCCACGGCGGGTTCTAATATTTCCAACTCAAATTCAGTAACCTGGCCTTGATAAAATACCACTTCTCATTACTGTAGCAAATGCCTCAAGAGAGCTTTAGATTATAAGGCCGAACCCGGCTCTCCCTTTTCCATTAAAAGAAATTTTTGCTATCAGTACGGCACTTATAAAATAAATCTCCATAACAAATTTAAAATACTTCCAAATATTTTCTATCCTTCCAGAGATATGTATTAAGAAATTTTTAGTATGTATGGGAGGCGCCATGCCTCCTTTTTAATAACTCACATTTTTTCTATGAGCAATTAAAACATTTTGTATACACAACTCCATACCAAGTTCCAGTATTCTTCCACAAACATTTCCAGGGATATGTGGCAAGAAAAAGTCAATTTGCACAGAACGTGCCACGCCCCTTTTTCTTATGACCCTAATCTTCTTTCATGAATTTAGAATTGATTTTACATACCCCAGTACTAAGTCCAGTACTCTACCATGAACACCTCTAGAGATATGCAATATAAAAGTAAATTTGTACGGGAGGTTCCATGCCCCCTTTTCGAATAACGCAAATTTTTCTCCATGAGTATGGAATTAATTTTGTATATACATCTCGGTGCCAAATTCCCGTCCTCTGCAATAAACACCTCCAGAGATATGCAGCATAGAAAAATCAATTTGCATGGGAGTTGTCACATCACCTTTTCCAATAACACTCATTTTTCTCCATGAGTATGGTATTAGTTTCACATACATACATACATATGTATTTCCATACCAACCTTGAGTACTTTACCCCAAACATTTGAAGGGATATGCAATATGAAACTTTCAGTCAGTATTGGAGGTGCTACGCCTCTTTTCCAAAAACGTCCATTTTTCTCCGTGAATATGAACATGATTTCACACAGTGTTGGAAAACTGTTAATCTGATTAACGATTAAAATGTTAATCGCGTTTGACGATTAAAATTAATTAGTCGTTATCAACTGTACGATTAATGATAACATTTTTTGAATCGTTAATCGCTAGCTGCGATTACGTTTAATTAATTTAAAACATTAATCGTTAATCCAATTAAAAATAAAATCTGATTAATTTGTCTAGTTTGTCCGAGTTTGAAACCAAACACCAGTTATAGTAATTATTTTGTGTTTTACGCTTATAAAAAGCACATAATATAAAAAAATTATAATTATTGTTATTAGTAATACATAAACTGGGAACTTTCACAAACCTAGTTTGTAAAACGTTTGTTGGTATATATCTTAATGAAAATGCACACGAAATTGCTTAGATGGATGAGGAAACCCGACTTAGCCATACCGGTTTCACTTGCTTTGTGTGCACAGGGAAATTCCAGCATAACTTAATTAATCACCAAACCTACTTGATCAAATTAAGAGTTAATGATTAAAAATTAATTTTTTAATCGCGGTCACGATTCAGTCAGGTTAAAATTAATCATGATTAACTGTAATCAGATTGAATTTAATCGAATTAACTAACTGATTAAATCATCAATCGATTAATGCCATCATTGATTTCACATAGATATCACTATACCAAGTTTCAGTTCTCTCCCACAAATACTTCCAGAGATATGTATGTAATAAGAATTTTCTAATTTGTATGGGAGGGGCCTTGAGTTATCGGACTTACTTTCAGTCTAAGACCATCCTTCCGAAATCCGTAGTAAGTGTACTAAATTTCGTTCTGATCGGAAAACCGGTTAAGGAAGTAGCCTGTTTTTCAATCCAGGTCATAAACCATCTTTGAGCAAAATTTCATTTTCAAACAGGTGGCAATTCTTAAAAAAGTAGCCTATTTTCCAGTCTAGGTCATAAGCTATCTGTGTGCAAACTTTCATAGCAAATCAGTTCTGTCATTTACGCGTACTAATTTAATTAAACTTAATACGTGATAACTCTTAAAATAGTAGCCTTTTCCACATAGGTCATAACTATCTCTGTGCGAAATGTCATGCAAATTTGTTCAGTCATTTCCGCGTATTAATTTAATTAAAACTTTTTTAACAGGTGGCAACTCTTCCAAAAAATTTGCCTATTTTCCACTGTAGGTCATAAGCTATCTGCTTGCAAAATTTCATGCAAATCCGTTCAGAATTTTCCGCGTATTAATCTAATTAAACTTTTTTAGCAGGTGGTAACTCTTAAAAAAAGTAGCCTATTTTTAAACCTAGCTATCTGTGTGAAAACTTCCATGCAAATCAGTTCACTCATTTCCGCGTATTAATTAAATTAAACATTTTAACAGGTGGCAACTCTTAAAAAAAGTAGCCTACTTTCTAACCTAGGTCATAATCTATCTGTGTGCAAAATTTCATGCAAATCCGTTTAGTCGTTTCCGCGTATTAATTTAATTAAACTTTTTAACAGGTGGCAACTCTTCCAAAAAATTAGCCTATTTTCTACCGTAGGTCATAAGCTATCTGTGTGCAAATTTTCATGCAAATCCGTTTAGTCGTTTCCGCGTATTAATTTATTAAACTTTTTTAACAGGTGGCAACTCTTAAAAAAATATCCTATTAACCAATCTGGCCCATAAGCTATCTGCGTACAAAATTTAATGCAAATCCGTTCAGTCGTTTCCGCGTGATGATTTCCCAAACATCCAAACATACAAACTTCCACATTTATAAATTAGTAAGAAGTAAGATAAGATAAGATAAGATAAGATTAGTAAGAAGATTTCCCAAACATCCAAACATACAAACTTTCACATTTATAATATTAGTAAGATATATGACTCACAAACGCCTCTTTAGGCAGTCGGAACTTTTTAATAAATCTGTAAACTGCTCATGCGGAGCATTCTCTTGCGCTCACCAACACAGCCACAGATTTACTTTTGCCGACCCCTGATCTAGGCGCACATTATACATAAGCTGCATTTTTTTGTAAGCGAGGGACAAAATAATGCTCAACACGGGTAAAATTTCCTCTTAGCTAGTTAAGCAACCCTGCTGGTAGCTGGCAAGAAGCATGTGATTAGTTCAACGGGATTTAGACACAAAAAATAATAGAAATTAGTAATTATGCGAGGTATTTGCGTAATATATATGTACTTATTTAAAATATAAATCATTATATACGAAAACAAAAATTTTCCTCTCCACTTTCCCATTAACAATTCACAATATAGCAGTTTTTTCACTTAAGAACACTACTCTTCAGGTCGCGTATTTTTTACCGACCTGGCTGAACTCGGATAAATAGCCGAGTTTGTGTTGTTGCTTTGCGTGTATTTCATCATTTAAGCGAGTGTTCTTTTGTAGCTCGGTTGCAAAAGAATGTACCTATAGTTGTTATTCCATTTCATATGCAAGGGTAAGCATTTGTGTGCGTGTGTGCTCATATGTTAACCGATATGTAAATTTATGCGCCCAAATTAATTTTATACATTTATTTATCATATTTTAAACGTAGAAAATCAATAGAAAAAATGTTTAATTAATCGCGCGAAATTGGAATTTTGTTACATAGCGCCTGGGTAAAAGCATAGTGAAATATAATTTTTTCACTATGGGTAAAAGATTGCCGTATGTTACTTTCGGCAGGTTTTGGGAAATCGATGTTAAAGATTCAGTCACAATTTCTCAAGAGCTGTACGTTTTTACCAAAACTTCGTGCTTAATTGAACATACTATTTAAAGTATAAAACCACATTTTCTTAAATTTTCAGTAACTCATTTAGCTTTTACAGCCACTTTTTTATAAAATCATTTTGTCGTATGTTACATTTTCACGTTTAACGCTAGCCAGCGGTATGACATACTATAATTGTTGAAATTATTTTCTGCTCGTACGCAAAAAATTTATTCTAATACACCTGAGATATTAATTAATGAATAAAAATCAACAAAATATTAAACGATTTGTCAATAAGTGTTGCCGTAGCACATGGGACTATCCATTGTATAGGATTGGTGTGATTTTGCCGTATGTACCATACAATTTGTCACATAAAACAATATTTTAACAAGTAATCAATTTCATCAAACTGTATGAAAATTTTGTCGTATGTGACATTTTTCGTCACATATAACAAAATGTTGGCCGAGTCGCTTGCGAACTTGCAAATACGACAAAATTATACTCAATATCTCGGAAACTACAGGAGGTATCCAAAAACTGATAACACCAATCGAAAAATCTTATTTAATAAAATACAACTGCATCCTTACCTAAAAATCGTCAAAATGACGCTTACGACAATATTTTACCCAGACGACGTAATGGATTCGAAACGACAGATTTAACGCTGCTAAGAAAGTTCTGTGGTGTAGTGGTAAGCAGTGCGCGCACCTGGGTTCAAGCCTTGGTCAAAGCAACATCGCAAAAAAATATAGAAAAAAGGGTTTTTCTTAACAGCGGTCGTCCCTCGGCAGGCAATGGCAAATCTCCGAGTGCATTTCTGCCATAATAACAGCTTCTCATAAAAATACAATCGCCGTTCGGAGTCGGCGTAAAACTGTAGGTCCCTCCGCTTTGTGTGACAACATCAAGGCGCACGCCACAAGTCGGAGGAGAAGATTGGCCAAACACTAACATATGTGTAAGCGCCAATCTATTATTATTATTATTAAGAAAGTTCTCAGAGGGGAGGTTAGAACTCACAGCATTTTGTTGACGGTGTCAGTAATCTCCAAATATCAGGGCTTGATTATCTTGAGGGCCCTGGTAAAATAGCATACTTACGTAGGACTTACTTGAATCTTTAATAATTTGTGTTGCAAAAAAAAACATCAGTAAGCTTAAAAAACGGTTTTGTTTAATAAGTGTAGTTGTAATAATTGTAATAAATGAGTTTGATAATAAATATAGAGCAATAAGACTAAGAGTATTTTCAATTATGTATATAAAAACTAAATAATTCAGGAATCACTTTTTTATACATACATACATATGTATGTATACATAAATATAAATATTAACTTGTTTGATCGACGATTTTGAGTTCTGCTAAATACCAAGTAAATGTTGGAAATTCTTTTATGCTATATATGTCATACTTAATGGAGTTTATACCATCCATTTCCATCTTGCTAATTCCGTTTACGAGATTCTCATATCTGGAAAAGAAATATTTAAAAAATATAAATCAGGATGCTTAACAAATTTGTCAGCTCATTCACAATAAATATATTAAGCAAAAGAAAATTAAAACACTGATGGACATGCCTCAACACTATTGTATTTAAAGTATATTTTTGGATACTGAATATCCAAATACACCTGGCCCCATAAAAAATTAAATAGATTTAAAAAGCGAAAACAAACAAGTAAAAAGTCGGGCGAAACCGAACATTAAATACGTGCGTCCGTGTTAAATATAAGGGGAATTCGCTCTTCTAATGTGTATTCGTTGTATGTTGTGTAATCGTAACTGCATGAGCGTGTGATTTGTTGTTGCTAGCGGTACATCAAATACACATGCAACAACAACCACACGCTCGTCCAGTTACACTTACACAGAAGCGCGAATACCACTATAGTTTTTTCACTGTTCCGAAAAATACCATTACATGGTAAGCATGGATGGTTTTTTCAAAAATGAGATAAAGTTATTGGGCGTAACTGTAGTCCGATTTCAAGAATTTTCAACGTCTTGCTTTTACATGTCAGGTACAATAACTGTGTGTCAAGTACAATAATGGTTACCGAGTTAAAATATGTAGTCATAAGTGGTCGTTGTATAGGATGTGGGCGTGGTAATTTTCCGATTTTCATTATTTTTTACCATTTGGTATGTTTTAACAGGACCAAAAATTTTACCAAGTTTCGGAGAAATTGGTGAAAAGCTGACCGAGATATACATATATAATCATAAGTGGGCGGGGCTAAGCCCATTTTCCAAAAATTTCATAATATTCTTATTTTCCGGCTAAATATTACTGCAAATATTCAGGGCTATCACAGAATCCGTCGTAGCTTAATTTTTTGTGAAACCTACGAAAGTGCTATCACAGAACGCGAATGGCTACGAACGTAAATTCGAAATTCGTGAAGAGCCTTCATTGAATCCGTTCGTAATGAAGATTCGTACAGATACTCTATAACGAGTTTATGCTGTCGGAGCATACTGGAAAGTCAACGTAAAACTAGCAAAGCTGTTCCAAAAACACAACCTTCGCACATCATTCAGTACAAATAACAACGTAGGACGGATACTACGGAACACCACAAATCAAGAAGACCCATTGGATAAACAAGGAGTGTATAAACTAACTTGCAAATGCCAGCATAGTTATATAGGTCAAACAGGACGGAAAATAAAAACAAGATTTCGCGAACATATAAGGGACTATAACAGAAACCGAGTGCAATACCAGAGTCAAATTTTGCTAACCATATATTTAACAACAAATGTTCACCAACGCAAATAAGAAAGTCAGCGAAACTACTGCATGTACAACATAAAGGCCAACGACTAAACGTACTAGAAAATATGGAAATATACAAACTAAAAACCTTCGACGGCAAAATAATAAACGCACAAACAAATACCACATCGGATGTTATATTCGAACCCTTAAAATTAAAATTAATTTACGAGAAAAAGAAAAATGACAACAAAACAACAGGCATGGACACTCCGAACACACCACAAAGTACCACCACGACAAAAATCACCGACTTTTACCTAACTGCAGGCAAAAACTATACAGAGACTACATAACGGATGTTAATATTGCGACAGCGAACCTACCAACCTATTACATACCTGCTTCTGAAATAAAAAAGGGCAACATGGCATTTCTAATAATTAACCATCGACGAAAATCACATTACCTAAGATAAATGAACATAAATTAAGGACAAAAGCTCGAACCAGACAGAACGAAAAATTACACTGAAAATGGCACAATGCCGAAACCGGTTTGTCTGCAAACCAAACTTGACAAGGGATGACGGAAATTCGTTCCAAAATAAATCATTCGTACAGATACTCTACAACGAGTTTATGCTGTCGGAGCAAAATTTAAAATCACTTCATCTTAAAAATAATGGAAAAAAGCTGCATTATTGTTAATAATAAATAGTTATTATAATCCAAATTTGTTATGAGTCAAGTTTTCTCACCCAAAGTTGACTTTTTGATTTTTTATATTTCATTGACATTGATTTTGAAAGTTAACATGGTGTGCAATATTGACACCAAAGATTTTGCATTAAACATTAAACATTTTTCTACATTTAATTTGAAATAGTATGCACGAACGGATTAAAAGTGGTAAATAATTAGTACTTTTTCTACTACTTTAAATGTGTGACCGGAATAGATCTGCCGAAAAAGTGAGGTTAAGTTACTGACAACACCTTGTTATTATTACACCATGAGTCAAAATTATAGAAGGCATGTATACTTCTCCCTTTCATTTTTTCATACAGTTATGCTTCTTTTTGGCTTTTACAAAATGCAGGGATACCGCACTTATTTCGGTACAATATGATCGCAATGTATTTTCAATTCGAAATCAAAGAAAAACATCCCACGAAAATGTTTGCGATTTTAGAACCATTAGTGAATATTTGCAAACTACTGCAAATAATAGAGTGCCATATCTTACAAGGTTCAGAGAATTAACGAAACAAACCAGCATTTTATGGCTTCATGTTTCCCTCAAACCGCATTGCTATTTTTTCTAACTTTTCCTTTTGTTTAGCGCTGTAACCTATTAAGTTATATCTTTTAAATTATACATGTGAACTATTTTCAATGAGCATTTTTTCATGTGCTCCAGAATTTTGGGTACATTTTCTTATAGTACCTCTCATTCTTTTTTATATTACATATATACACTCCGAAATTCGGGATAGTATTTTTAATATACCAGCAATATATGTAAAAGGAATGGCGGCTGCTGTAGAGCATTACGTAGAGCCTGAGTTCAAGCCCAGTTTTTTCTAATAGTGGTTGCCCCTCTGTTGGTAATAGTAAACCTCCGATTGTATTCTGTCATGGAAACAACTTCACATTAAAATACAATTGCCGTTCGGAGTCGGCGTAAAACTGTCCTTTACTTTGTGTGACAAAATCACGCACGCCGCATATCGGAGGAGAAGCTAGGCCAAACACTAACATATTGTTCAAGCGCCAATATGTATATTGTCGTTTAAAATTCAAAAGCGCGTATCGTGGTTCTGCAAAACCTCGGAACTGAAATTTGTGCCAAAAAAGATATTTGGTCATCGGAAGCTCCTGACATCAAGCCCTTAGCCATTTATAATAAAATATCGATATAATAAAATATCGACTTAGACATAAGGAGAGAAGATTATTAAGTTTAAAAGA